ATGGGAATCATATCAGTTCTTTTCCAGTCCTCTGGTAGTTCCCTGGTCCCCCAGGATCTTTGAAAGATAGGGTTCAATAATTCCAAGATCACATATGCCAGCTCCATCAGAACTCTGTGATGTACCAATAATCTATCTGGTCTGTTAGATATTAAATGGGGAAAAGTCAGTGATGTCAGACTTCCCCCATTGGTTCATTTTCCAGGCACAAAAATGAACAGCCATCAGTGGCTGAAATTGTGGGCAGCAGCCTGTAAAAAGAACAGCAGGCACACTGGACGGCAGTCTTTTGCTCAGAGCTAAATAAAGAAATCCTTTCCTTCTACTGTTGTCCTGCCTCTTCAATCTAGCCCATATCTAATACTGGCAATGAGGATGGGATACTAGAAGAGAACAAAGGAAACGAGGCAAAGATGGAAAATTCTAAGAACAGAACACTGTAATCACCATGCTTATCATCAGAATGTCCACCCACGCTCAGCCAGAACCTTTTTATCCAAAAAAGCATGACTGGGTTGTGTACATGGGACAATTTCAAATGTTTTTAGAAGAAAATTCACTCCAAGATGCAACAGAACAGAGGAAGAGAGCTCTATTCCTGGGATATTGTGGAAATCACCTCTACAAAATGGCTAGAATCCTAGCTAATCCCAAAGATGTGGAAACAATGGAATGGAAAGAATTACAGAAGATGTTAGAAGAATATTATGCTCCTGCTGCATCGTCACTGGCTCATCGACTTGACTTTTACCGCAGAGAACAGAAACCAGGTGAGACCATAAATGATTACCTTACAAAACTACGAGATATTGCTGCAGGCTGTGAGTTTGAAAATGTGGAAATAACTTTAAGAGATAGAACTGTAGTTGGAATGAGGGACCTGAGATTGCAAAGGAAGCTGATAACTAAAAAGAGCAACTTTTTAAAAGAAGTAATAGAGGAAGCCCGAGCAGCAGAAATCTTGGAAAAACCAGCAGCTAAAATTGAGAAATCTGAGAGCGTTCACTCAGCATGGGGGACGACCAGCAAATATCAGGGAGAGTGGGAGATTGGAGAACTTTCCGAAGAAGAGGAGGAAGAAACACATAGAGTAAAACCTGATAGAAGATCAGGGCCCCAAGGGACGAGCCAGAGACCCCTATGGTGTGCAGGCTGTAAAGGGATACCAATGCCAATGCGAGAAGGGGGCATATTGCTGAAGCATGCAGAGCAAATCTGCCAGCATACTCCAGTCAGAGACAAGCAGGGTTCCCTAATCATCCACATAGCCCACAACAAAGGGGATTCCTGAGAACTCCTCATTCAAATTACAGGAGGAAAGAGAATAGAATGGAGAAGGACAAAGACTATGAACACACAATAGTGGGGCATTCTGATCACCATAAATCAAACAAATTCAACATCACAGTGATAATAGGAGAAAAACCTTGTGATATGGAAATTGACTCCGGATCCTACATATCTATGGTGTCCTGGACAACTATTAAAGAAGCAATCCCTGGCATAACTTGACAACAAGTAAAACCACAACATTTAATACTAAAAGATTTCCAAGGGAACAGAATTCCCATGTTAGGAAGAGGAATTTTTCCAGTAAAATTCAGAAACTTCACCGGTGAATTGCCTTTAACCATCATGGACAAAGAAGTACCAAGCCTCCTCGGAATAGAATGGTTTAGAGCCATAGGAGTCGAGGTGACCATCCACATCACGCAAGCAGAGGAGCACAACCAAATGAGAGAGGACCTGCAGACTGAATGCAAGGATGTGTTCGACGGAACCCTAGGCAAGTATAAGGGGATCCCTATTTCCCTCAACCTTGATCCAAAAGTTCCCCCTGTCAGAATAAAACCAAGGCAAGTCCCTTTCTTCTTGAGACCCAAAGTGGATGAACAATTAGATAAACTCATAGCCCAGGGAGTATAGAGCCAGTTGATCACGTTAAGTGGGAGACCCCTATAGTCATCCCAGTTAAGCCAGATGGATCAATCAGAATCTGTGCTAATTATAAAATTTCAGTTAATATTGCATTGCAAAAGAGCGTGTACCCAGTGCCAGTTGTACAACATCTATTGCATTCAATAAGAAAGGAGAATTTTTTTTGCCAAATTAGACTTGGCTCAAGCCTATCAGCAGTTATCTGTGGATGAAGAAACAGCAGAAGCTCAGACCATGGTAACACACAGGAGTGCTTTCAAAGGCAAAAGACTGCAATTTGAGGTCAGCGTAGCCCCTGGACTATTTCAAAGCTTAATGTAGTAGGAATGCCTACTACAGGGCATTGTGGGGGTGATTATTTTGATGATGTCCTCATGGCAGCAGAGGACAAAGAACAACTTAAACAAAGACTAAGGCTAGTTTTGAGCAGATTTCAAGAAGTTGGCCTTAAGCTCAAAAAAGAGAAATGTCACATAGCAGTACCAAGTGTTGAATTTCTGGGATATCTAATTGATGGGACAGGTATACACCCCACTGATAGTAAAATAAGAGCAATTAAGGAAGCTCCCACTCCAACAAACAAAACAGAATTACAAGCTTTCCTGGGACTTTTAAACTTTTACAGTATTTTTCTACCACAGAAAGCAACAGTTGCTGAACCACTTCACAGACTTCTTGATAAAAATACAGAATGGACTTGGGGGCACAGAGAAGCAACTGCATTTGAATCCATAAAAGGACTCCTAACTTCTAACAGTGTTCTAGTACAATATAATGAAACATTACCTCTTTCACTAACATGTGATGCATCTCCTTTTGGGGTAGGGGCTGTTCTCAGCCATAAATTCCTGAATGGCAGAGAAGCACCCATTGCTTTCTACTCAAAAACTTTATCCAAAGCTGAACGGAATTACAGCCAGCTAGATAAGGAAGCACTGGCTGTAGTAGCAGGCATTAAGCGTTTTCACGAATATCTTTATGGGAGACAATTTGAACTAGTTACAGACCACAAACCACTCCTAGGCATCATAGCAGGAAACAAACCAACAACAAACATATTGTCCCCTAGATTGACAAGATGGACTATTTTCTTAGCTGCATATAACTATCACCATATACATGGATCAAGCAAGATGCACTCAGCCATTGCCCCCTTCCGGAGCCTGTTGAAGACCCAGCTCCCGCCACATCCATACTCCTCATTGAAGATATTGCCACCGGCCCTATCACAGTATCAGAGATAGCCAAACACTCAGCCAAAGACAAAACTCTGGCACCTATTTTAAACTGGGTGTTGAGGGGATAGCCAGAAGAAGTGCTGGAAGGTGACTTTAAACTAATTAAAATTTGGCAAAATGAACTGTCTGTAATTAAAGAGTGTTTGTTGTGGGGGGACAGAGTTGTGATAGCTGAGACACTGAGAGAACAAGAATGTTGCATGAGGGCCACCCAGGGATAGTAAGAATGAAAGCATTAGCCAGAAGTTATACTTGGTGGCCAGGAATGGATAAGGAAATTGAAAAATGGGTTGCAGGTTATACGCCTTGTCAGGAATCTAGACCAGCACCCCCTTCAGTACCAACCCTAGAATGGGAATCACCAAAAGCACCTTGGTCTAGAATACATATAGACCTGGCAGGGCCAAGGCAGGGGCAAACATTTCTAATAACTGTTGATGCATATTCAAAGTGGGTGGAATTAACGATCATGAAAACCACCACAGCAGATGCTGTGATTAAGGTATTGAGGAAGTTGTTTGTATATTATGGATAAAAAGAAATAAAGAAGATCCCTTCTCTCCCACATAGAGAACACACTGCAACAGCAACTGAGATTCAAAGATTCTTTGAATTCTGTTTTATGGTTCATCAAATGCCATTTGATGGATAAAAACCTAGATCATGTTACTTTCTTTGTTTAACTGATTCCCACACATTTGCACAATACATATATCATATCTATGAGTTTTTATGAATAATTATTACATTTGTTATATCTGGGAGGACGGTTCAAGAATAGAGGCAAGACTCAGATAGTAACTAAAGCTCTTTATTTGTGACTTCAGATCTGAGCAACTAACCCCAGCCTCAGCAGCCCCTTATATAGGGCTGGCTGCGGCTAGGCAGCCAATGAAGGTGATTTGAGTTTGCCACTCTTGGCAGGTCCAATCGCGGCAGCCCGTTTACTGGCCAATCGCATCAGTCTATGGTGACCAATCACGATCGGCTTTCAGTGGGCCAATCAGATTTACAGGCTACGAGCCTGCTAGTCCGGAACACCCCTCCCCTCTCGGTTCCGTTTAAGGGGTGGAGTAATATAGTCTCCCAGGTAGGCAGGTCTTCGCACCTGTCTGCCTGACTTATGCAGTTCCGCTTGACCCTGTTCAAACCCAGGTTCAGATGGACTGCTTGCTGGATCAAACAGGAACGGTGAACCGGTGTCATGGTTAGGGCTCTCCTCTGGTGCTCCCGGGGTGATGGAGTCCTCAGCCTCGCTGTTACTGCCATGGCTCCCGGGGCTCGCTGAACCTGCCTGGTTGCTGCTTCTTGGCGAAGCGTTTGACTGTCCAGTCTCAGCTGCAGCTGATGAGTGTTGCCAACCATGGTGCGGTGATCTCAGTGTTAGCTCGGAATAAACAGGTGTTGGTTCTAATTCTGAGTTCACTGCTTCCCCTCTCCCCCTAGTGTCAAAGTTAGGGTCAGGGTTGGAAGATGTGGTTAGTCTGGAGTGCAGTTGGTCAATATGGCGTTTCCATGGTCTGCCATCAGTGGTGAGTAGACGGTAGGAGCGGGGGCCCATAACTTGAGTTACCTGGGCAGGAATCCAAAGGGGGTCCCCAGAAATTTTTTTTGCGAAAACAAGGTCTCCTACCTTGAAAACACGATGCTTGCTGCTGGAACCCAGGGGCTTTTCTGGGGTGTAGGCAGGGTGCAAACGATCTAGAGGCGATCTGAGTTTCCTGGCCATCAGGAGTTCAGCTGGGCTCTTGTTGGTCATGCTGTTTGGTGTGATGTGTTGCAGGAGCAGCATTCTAGTGACTTTGTCGTGGATGTTGCCTTGATCCATTTTCTGCAGGGTTTTCTTTGTAAACTGAACCATTCGTTCAGCCCTACCATTCGCCGCAGGATGAGCTGGCGATGTGAGTGCGTGTCGGATGCCCCGTTCCGCTAAATACTGTTCAAAGGCTAAGGCAGTAAATTGGGGCCCATTGTCAGAGACCAGGACATCTCGTAGGCCGTGTGTGGCGAAGAGTCTGTTCAGTTTTTTAATGACCGTCTCAGTAGTGGTTGCTTTCATCTTATTGACCTCAAGCCAGTTTGAGTAGGCATCAACAGTTATTAAGAAGGTGTGGCCTCTCATAGGTCCCGCAAAGTCAATATGAATGCGAGACCAAGGACCCCTGGGTGTTTCCCATTCTGTTGGTGGGGCTTTAGGTGGAGCCGAGTGGTTTTCCTGGCATTTGTTACAAGAGGCGACCCAGGTTTCGATTTGTTTATCAATACCTGTCCACCAGGCATAACTTCTTGCCAGCGCTTTCATGCGTACGATGCCCGGGTGTCCATCGTGTAGCATTTGCAAGACCCTTTTTTGTAACTTAGTTGGTACAACAACTCGGTCTCCCCACAAAACGCACCCTTTTTGTGAAAAAAGTTCCGTTTGTCTGTTTTTAAACAGCTTAAACAGTTCCTTAGTGTCGTAATCTGGCCATCCCCTCTCCACCCAGCCAAGAACTCGTGCCAAACAAGAGTCTTTTTTGGTTTCAAAGGCGATGTCTTGAGCTGTTAGTGGAGGCGATGGCATTGTCTCTATTTGCAGTACCGGGAGTGTGGGAGCTGGGTCTTCCTGTGGCTCAGGTAGCGGTGAGCGGCTCAAGGCATCTGCGTGGGGAATAGATTTCCCGGGGCGGTATTTTAATTGATAGTCGTAGGCGGCGAGAAATTCTGACCATCACGTCATTCTGGGGGAGATAATGTGTGGAGTAGGTTTGTGGCCCGCCAGAATCCCAAGTAGTGGCTTATGATCCGTTATAATAGAAAATGGTCTCCCATAAACATATTCATGAAACCTTTTAATTGCAGAGACAATAGCAAGGGCTTCCTTATCTAACTGGCTATAGTTTCTTTCTGTTTTTGATAGAGTTCGTGAAAAAAATGCAATTGGTGCTTCTGAGCCATTTGGTAGGACGTGGCTCAGGATGGCCCCTACCCCAAATGGTGAGGCATCACACGTGACAGTCAAAGGTAGTGTCTCGTTATACTGAATTAGTACTGCCTTTGAGGTAAGGAGGTCTTTTACTTGCTGGAAGGCGTGTTCCTCCCGACGTCCCCAAATCCAGGATGCCCTTTTATCGAGTAGTCTATGGAGGGGCTCAGCAACAGTCACCTTCTAGGGTAGGAAGATGTTATAAAAGTTAATAAGTCCCAGGAAGGCTTGGAGGTCGGTTTTGTTTTTGGGTCTTGGGGCGTTTTTGATAGCTGCCAATTTTTTTTCTGTGGGGTGGATTCCTTGCTTGTCAAGGAGGTAGCCAAGAAACTCCACCCTTTCTGTGCAAAGCTGGCACTTTTCCTTCTTAACCTTGAGGCCAGCGTTTTTGAACCTCTGTAGGACTGTTCTGAGACATTTTTCTAATTGGTTTTTTGTGGGTGCTGCTATTAATACATCATCAAAATAGGGCACAACCCCTTTTATCCCTTGTAATAGTCTCTCCATCAGGCTTTGAAAGATGCCTGGGGCTACGCTTACACCAAACTGGAGCCTGTTGCATTTGAATGTACCACGATGTGTGACTATAGTTTGGGCTTCTGCATTCTTGGGATCAACTGGTAGCTGTTGATACGCTTGGGCCAGATCTAATTTTGCGAATATTTTGCCACCCCCAAGTGAATGCAGGAGATGTTGAACAACTGGCACTGGGTAGGCGCTCTGCTGTAGCGCAAGATTGAGGGTGGCCTTGTAGTCACCGCAGATTCTTATGGACCAGTCAGGTTTTATGGGGGTGACAATTGGTGTCTCCCATCGGGCGTGGTCAATAGGTTCTAACACACCTTGTGCAATTAATTTGTCCAGTTGCTCGTCAATTTTGGATTTAAGAGCAAAGGGAACTCGGCGTGGCTTTAGATGAATGGGTGCTATGTCGGGGCGAAGATTAAATGAAATAGGGGACCCCTTGTACTTGCCTAGGCTTTTGTTGAACACTTCTCGGAAGTCGTGGACGAGGGCCGCCTCCCAGTCATTGTCTTCAGTATGATGGATGCCAGCCATTCTGATTCCTAATGGCGCGAACCACTGAAGACCCAATAGACTTGGCCGGTCTCGATCTACGACGGTGAGTGGTAGAATTGCCTTATGTCCCTTGAACGAGACCTGCACATGGCGGGTACCTGCGACTGGAATCCAGTTGCCTTGATAGTCTTTTAGTATGAGTCTCTGACTGCTGAGGTCTTGGCGTCGGATGTTGGGGATTAGCTGCTTGAGTGTTCTCCAGGATACCATGGATAGAGATGACCGAGAGTCGACTTCCATGTTGCACGGTTTGTTTTCAATCGTGACCTCTACTCGGATCTTTTTAGCGTCAAGTGATGAAGTGTGGCCGATGGTGATGGTTTGATGAGCCTCCTCTCGTCTGGGGGCGTTGTTAAACCTTCGGGGTCTGCTGTACCGGTTCCACTGGTTGCTAGGGCGGTCCCTCTGCGTGGTGGCGTTGCCATCATTTCTCTTTGGGCTGCTCCCTCTCCGTCTGGGGCTGGAATTTCTCTTGTTTCTGCATACCTTCGTGATGTGTCCCCGTTTCTCGCAAAAATGGCATATGGCATCTAAGAATCTGCATTCGGATCGGGGGTGGTTTCCCCCACATCCGGCACATTGGTAGTTGGACTTGCGACCCCGCTGGTCCCATTGCTCACGTTCTGACTGGAGCCTGTGGACTTCTTCTTCCTCGCTGTCTGAGGATGACTCGACGTCTTCGTGATGGGTGGTTGATGTGTACTTGGCTGAAGGTTTCCCAGCATCGTTGGTGGGTTGGCGGTTGGTCCCGCTGGTTCAACGCATTCATGCTGCCAATTTACGAGTGGCTTCGGCTGCTGTAGCGTCTGCTATGGCATCTGAGAGCGAGATGTCCCCCTTGGCCATGTTCTTGCTCTGGACGGTGGGGTCTCTGAGGCCAAGGACGATGCGATCTCTCATGGCTTCTTCGAGGTTGACAAAGCCACAGAAACCACCCAGGTTCCTCAGGTCTGCCACAAAATCCCCAACGCTCTCACCTTCACGTTGGTCCCTCTGGTAGAACTCATGCCTCCAAATGAGAGTTGGCACGGCTGGGGCGTAATGGTTGCGCAGGATGGGAGCAAGGGTGTCCCAATCCATGGTTTTAACTTCAGCTGGCTTGGCTAAGGCTTTAGCCATTTTAAAAACGGCTGGTCCACAATGGGATAGAAAAACGGCTCGTTTCTTGCTGGGTGTGGCATCTTTGAGGTTGTTGGACTCCAGGAACATTTGAAATCTGTCCATGTATGAGTCCCAATCTTCGCTAGCTGGATCGAATGGTGCGGGTGGTATGGCGCTGCTGGCCATGTCGCCGTCGTTGCGCTCTGTCAGCCACGTGTTCCTTCAGCTAGCTCAATTTCAATAGCTTTCGTTGCCTCCGCATCCCATCCTCGTCGCCAGTGTTATATCTGGGAGGACGGTTCAAGAACGGAGGCAAGACTCAGATAGTAACTAAAGCTCTTTATTTGTGACTTCAGATCTGAGCAACTAACCCCAGCCGCAGCAGCCCCTTATATAGGGCTGGCTGCGGCTAGGCAGCCAATGAAGGCAATTTGAGTTTGCTGCTCTTGGCAGGGCCAATCGCGGCAGCCCGTTTACTGGCCAATCGCATCAGTCTATGGCGACCAATCACGATCGGCTTTCAGCGGGCCAATCAGATTTGCAGGCTACAAGCCTGCTAGTCCGGAACAACATTCTCAACTTTCTACATATTTCTACATATGAGGTGATGTAGTGGAAAAGAATATCCCATCCTTGCTGTGCTTATTGTCCTTTTAGGCTGCCCAGAAAGTGTCTAAGGGCAGAGCAAGCCTTTTTGCACTCACATTCCAGCAAAGCAGGAGGTGAAATATCTTCCCTCTCTCTTTGTGTTTAGGCATAACTCAATGTAATTTACAAATGAAGAGTATTATATATCCACGAACTATGTTATTTATTTTTATTTATTTATTTCCTATCTTTATTATTTTTATCAACAATGTTAAGCAGTGAACAAACCTGATATTATTTCCTCCTTCTATTTTCCCAATAACAACAAACCTATGAGATAGAGTGACTGGGCCAAAGTCACCCAGCAGGCTTTCATGTCTAAGGCAGGATTTGAACTCACGGTCCCCTAGTGTCTAGCCTGATGTCTTAAGTGCTACACCAAACTGGCTTTTTACACAAATCTTCAGATTTCTACCTCCATGTACTGTATACATACAGTTTTATAGAGTGCTCATGAACCTAATTATTTCATTAATTACAATTTTTTAAATTGTCTTTTTTTTCATTTATTACTTCTGCAACTACAAAGAAAATCTAGAAAATAATATAATGAAGAAAAATAAATTAAAAGGAGATTTTCAAATATAGTAACATTAATTAAAAATTTAAAAGGATGTTAATATAAGTCTACAATTTGAAAATTTGAAAAGCATTGATATGCTGGAATTATTATATAGTGATTAACAAGTAAAGCTTAAATCCTAAATTATGAATTGCAGTATTTTCTGCCTGTTTTAAGGTGTTTGCGCTAGGAGAAGCCAGATGAATATACTTTATGGGAACATAAAATTTAGTTATTTAATTTAAAAAAGGTAGCCACCTATATTATTGGATTTTATAACATTGCCACAAAATATGAAAAAAAAAATCATCCACTGTGATTACTTTTATTTGTAATAATGCAATAGAGAATGAATGGTTTATTCTGATAACCAACACCAGAGAAATGTACCATTAGTAGAGCATATTATACTTTTTTTTTCTGAATAAAACATTGAGTGCAATTTTGATCAATCCAGCCTTCAGAGATTCCAATTCAATCTTTTATCCCGGTTAAACAACTAGCCTGGTAACATAGCTGGCTGGCTGTCAACCTCATTATTTCAAGTGTTACACATTTTTGAGCTTTCTCCTGGGTCTTTTTTGGACTGTATAAAATGTGTTGCTCATTTCTGCCAGTGGCATAATGTTTTTTTTTTTCCAATTGTCATTGGGATCCTTTGGAACCAAAACTTAAACCTTGGCAAGATGTTCATTCCAACTGGAACAATTACAGCTTTTCCCAACTTGAAACATCTGTTGTTCTATTTCTACAAATCTGGGAATAATTGTTCCCAAATGTGTGAACTTGATTTATTCTTATTTCAGTAGTAAGTGCATGAAATTAAAAACTTAACAAAATATCTTCTTTTTGCAGGTCATTCATTAAGGCAAAGAAGTCGGTGACATTGAAGACACACAGCACTTTTATTGTTCTTATGTAAGTACTTCTGTGTACCTCCTTCATTGTCTTGTGTACTTATTTTATCCTTATTTAAGTAGTAAGTGCATGAAATAATAAACTACCTTTTTGTATATCTTCTGTTTGTAGGTCATTAGGGCAAAGAAGTCAGTGACGTCAATTTGGCCATGCCCAGCCAGTCACATGACCGCCCGGCCATGCCCAGCCAGTCACATGACTGTCAAGCCACACCCACCAAATAAGCCACACCCACCTAGTCACATGACCCCCCCAAGCCATGCCCACAAAATAAGCCACGCCCACAGAACTGGTAGTAAAAACTTTTGAATTCCACCACTGAAGAGAAGGAAGACTAACTTGAATGCAGCTTGGATTGATTAAGATGGTGTTCAACTCCCTGCCACATGATTGGATTATCAAGTGCCCAGAAATAACTGGAGTCAGTAGAAACATCAGAACATGCAAAAATCAATGGCAAAATTGAAGACACGATTACTGGCCAGAGGTTAATAACAAGAGAAGACTCTTTCCAGGAGACTCACGATCACACTACTCCAGTTTGTCATTGTACTGATTCCTCTACTTTTACCATCACCATATTTTTCCAAGGGGAAAAATAGTGAAAACTGAAGAAATCAAGATGTTTTATGGAAATAATATCTGTAGGGGGCATGCATAAGCGCACCAACGTGCTTACTGTCCCTGTCCTATTGTTTCTTTTTATTTTTCTTATATGTACCCATTTCA